ACTTATGCCATCTGAAAATGATGACAAGAATCAGCTAAGTCATTGGGCCTGATTTACTTATCCCCATATTTGGCAGCTCTCAGGACAGCCTTGAGGCCTTGTGGAACTATTCTCTGTGGGAGGGAGGATACACCTAAAATGAAGTCTCACTGATGAGTGCATTATGTCCAGCGTGCTGTGAATACTGATAACTGCAACAGACAAGAGCTTTCACATCCTCACTCATCTACTCGAGGTTGGCATATTACCAGTGTCTGAACATAGGTCAAGCATACACAGTCAAATGGGAAAAGTCTGTTTATGGTCTGGATGATAATATTTAATGATTTTTGTCCACTGAATAACATGATTTGACATTGTGCAAGCTTAACTATGGGTTCAGAATGGTGACGGTTTCAATGTATTTGATGAGATAAATGTGTGTATTTAAATAACCAACAAAAGTGTCTGAACTTTGTCATCTTTCAAAACAGATCTAGAGATACATGTATATTCAACTTTTGATCATTGATACATCAGAATAATGTTGATTCTAATGTAATCAGGGAATACAGATTAATCAGCAAACATGCTATCATTTCCTGTAACTGTGCTGGAAATGCTATATACAGTTTGGACAGAACAATGTTTTTAATGATTGCTTTCCTCTGTAGCAATGTGCAGACTAGCTGAATGTATTGCAAACGTCTATGTGTGATAGTTATGGAATCCTGTTTTAACTGTTTCCTCCAGAAACTGGACCAAACTATTGTAAACGCTATTTCAAGTATTTATGTGTTGTTACCAGCTGTTCAATAAGACGCACTGATATTTTATTCTCATCTTGAGTCTTTCTTTTTGTTTTATTCATATTGTGAATCTGAACTGGCTTTGATGCACATACTTTTTAGATTCCCTTACAGATTTTAGTTTCCAATTTCTCAAAATACAAACAAAATGTTCATTGATTTTTGTGCATGTCAAGGGAATATTTCATCTCAAGATGCCTGTTGTATTAGGCTGTTATAGTGTGGAATTTATTGACCACAAAAGCTTCACATATTGATATTTCTTCATTGTGGAATAATTCACAATTTTCTTAAGAGGGAAAATGAGTTTTTCACTTTCGGTTCACACCATGAAATAACACATGCTAATTCTGTTATTATCAAGAAGCATATCTCAGAATAGATTGCCAACAAAGAAGGAATATTGGTTTGAGTAAGATACTTGATTTTGATGAGGGATATTGACCTCCAGTATTGGAAGCATATAGCTCACATAGGAATTTGCCTTTGCTGCTGTGTGAAGTTGGAGTATATTGAAGCATCAATCAAACCAGTTGCAATGATGCAGCTTAAAACCATTACACACTGGCATTGAGCACAAGGTGCTGTTTATTGATGTCTGTCAAAAGTTCTGCTCATGCATGTGGAGTGCTATATGCTGTAAGTATGGTAATGCCAATACACTATTGAGAATCAAACATCATTTCATCCCAATTACTAGAGAGCAGTTTTGTTCCCATGCCACTCATTATGTCACCGTCAGTGGCTCAGTCTGGGGACTCTCCACAAGTTAGGTAGGCAGGAAGATGAGCTGCGTCCTTGCTTCCATTCAAACAATCGGACAAACTCTCTGCCTCAAGATGTATGGATTTTTTGCTGTTATCCAAAGGTCAAGGTGTATGTCTCAGTGACCCAGAGGAATTCTACATGGTGGTGTAATACCACAGCAATGTCTTGCCATGCTGACATGGAAATTGATTATCAGAACTGGAGTTGAGATATTCCTGTGTGGGGTGGAGTGTTGATACTTCCCCTGAACAAAGTGAGATGTGGAGGAAGATGCCAAGTGACGGTTTCGTTTCTTCTGTGTCTTGTTAGTCTTGGGATGTCAGACAAAACAGTCAGTGTAATGATCGGATAAGACGTAGATTTATAACATGACCCAGTGGTGAGATAAGGAATTAACCTACAAGAAATCTGTCTGCATTTACATATTTACACTTGATTTGCCCCAGGACAGAATCACAAGCTGATGTCGTCTAAATTGACTTACCTCTTCAGACTGCTACAAATGTGTCCTGTAACAACCAAGGAAAATTCGTCTCCGGATCATATTACATTATGTGGACTTTGCGCTCCTGAAGATTGATATTAGTTAAGTCTATCCATTTGCAATTATTTATATGCAACTGGTCTCGAGGATGTAGTTCTAACCATTACACATGATATTGGCGTTGCTATACACTTAAGCTTAACAAGAATGCTTTGCAGGACATTTTGACAAATCTGCTATGGAATCAGCCATGAATTAAATATGAATTGATGCAGACACATTTGTGAAAATAGATGCTGTAAAGATCTGCTGAGTAAAATATGACCAAAAGTGAGGCTGCTGGAATCTGAATTAGAGGTATTGAAATGGAAATTGCCCTTCCTCCTTACAGCGACTGTAGCGTCGATTGTTCCACCTCTGAAATGTCAGGTTTGTGACCCGCATGTGTGTATTTCCGTGTTCACATGTCTGTGACACTACATGTGTTGCCTCCATTAGGATAATAGAGTTTTACCTGCAGACTCAACTGGATTTTTGGCTTGATTAGGGCTGCAAGACTGGGTGATTCTATCAGGAATTGATTTGTTTACCGTCTGGGTCTGTACTCACCATTGAGATGTTGTCATTGACTAGTATTTGGATCGCTGTGTACACCCAGATGCACCATTCACTCAAGGATTGCTGTATTACTTGACTGGATCATGTACCAGCGGATTTCTGCCGTGATGTTCATGCTGACAAGATTTCTCTGGAAATGTGATTCTAAGTGCATACGGTTGACGGCAAAGGTGCAGCTTTAGAATCCCATCTCAGTCATTGTTGTGGGATTAATGAACCTTCAATAAACACCCATTCCATTGCTGTGACAGTCTAATGATTGGCCTACTTCTGTTCAACATTCATTATGTGTTATTAATTTTATTTTGAAAGAATTCCTAAACTGATTTATGAAATTTAATTTCAAAGGGAGTACTACCATGGTATTGACTGCAATAAATTACTGACATGACATATAGCATGTTATATTCAATGATTTGTTGTCAACGGTGAGTTCTGTTGCGAGGATCCTGTTTGATGATGTCTTGATCCTGGAAAACACTCAGATATTGAATGTGTTTTTTCTGAAGTGACAGATAGGAGTTTCATTTACTTACTGTCGAGGAAGGAAACATTTTTTCATGATTGTGTGTGCTGGACAACTACAAAGGAAAACTTCCTACAGTCAGTGTCGCTACTGGAACAAGACGTGGTGTTATAGTGTCATGATGGAGGATACCTAAATACTGTAAATGACCAATGAGGACCCCACTTGCTTTATCATGTTCTCACGTTTGTTCGGGAAGAGAAGCAAAAGCAGGTTTGTGCATGTCTTTCAGGAATTATTTAAGTTTTTATGTTGTTCTGAGTTGTATTTGCTGTTTTGTGCAGTTGAAGCTTCTTGTCAACAGCTCCTCGTCATAGGATTATGTTAAAAAATATATTCAGGGGATATTTAGATTAAAATAATGCCGAAAAAAATCTTCAAGGCTATCAGAAACAGTGTGAACTTCTTACACAGAATCTTTCGAAGACCATAATGTGTTTGTCACTGTAGAGTGTTGTTGGATACTTTAATCATTGTTGTGGATGGTGTCATGGGATCTGATACCAAGCTCAAAGCTGAAGGGGTAACCTTAGACTAACAACTAGTCTCTGAAATGAATATATTTTACTGAAAAAAGTTCATAGTAAAAAATAAAATATATAATGAAAAGGAGCCCTGAGACGTTCTTCAGGAAATCTAGACTTGCCACATTTTCTAGACTTGCTTGGCCTTTCTTGGATATATTTGCTTCAGGGTCTGTACGACAGACTAGGGTAACCTGGAATGCATCTTGGATGATGATGCTTGTCAGTGCATTGTACACACACACTATTCATTGTCATGTTTTAATGTTTATCGCTCAAATACTGATCACAATGTCCCAAATTACCAACTGAACAGATCTCAGTTACATTGTTATGGGGATTACCAAAGTGTGTCTAACTTGGAGGTGACAAGCTGGCCACATGAAGCATGCTGCACTTGATCTCATATATCATTGTTTACTCTAAAGCCTTAACCTGTATTAGATGGGGATTTCATGTTCGATTGAAGAAATCAACCACCAACTTCAAGTTGTATCATACCAGAATGAAAATGCAGGTTACATGTAATCAACAATTTTGATAAGAAAAGCAAGATTTAGGAGATAAACATACTGTGTTGGAAAATCAGAGGTATGTAATGAAATTATAGTAGCTCTAAATTTGATTTAGCGTGAGGTTTTAAATAACAAATTTTAGAGCTATTATAATTTTGTTATATACCTCTGATTTTCCAACACAGTACATTTATCTCCATTCTACCATAACTGTGTTATTAAGACTTTAAAAAGATACATACTGTGTTGGAAAATCAGAGGTATATAACATGATTACATACCTCTGAATGACTTTGATTATCCAATCACAATCCAGTATTTACTGAAGTCATTGTAGAGTTATGGATGTCAACTTTTTTATTGTCAATAACATGACGTTTCGGAGTGTTTGCTTGCTCCTTCATTCCACTTCTAAATGCCCTTAAAAAAGAACACATTTTGATAATTGTATCTAACAAGACATACTCTTTTTCATCCCAAAGGATTCACAATTAATTTTGTTTTCATTCATTCCTAGTTTGAATGCATATCTAATGCAGTATTTGTGTCGAGTAAAACCCTTGTATTTAGTGATGCAATGTGGATGATGACAGAAAATACATCTACACCTATGCAGTGTTGCATCTATTTCATATTGTCTTTATTTCACTCATGTTGTACAAGAGTAAAAATGTCTTCTTGTATTATCTGGAGTCATGAAAGAGACGAAGACACAACACTGCATGTTCAATCGCATCAGAAACTACATGTCTTATCTTATCTGTTTTTACATTTCAGGACCAATCTAGATTTAGCTGAGAAATGTCATAAATCTGAATGTAAGTACCTATATTACTTAGACCATTGTGTATGTATTATCAAGTGTTTTGTATAACAACTGGCTGAAAGCCTGGTGCTGCTGCTGCTGTATGCTAAAAGACTGGTGTGTTCGCCCACTCATTCACTTGTCAATACCAGTAATGCAAATTGTTACCATGATACATTTTTGTAGTTGTTTTTTTTAAATATTCTAAGAAATGGCTTTGATCATTTTATTGATTGATGTGATCCATCATGATCATATTTTTCTGTTTCTAAATATGGAATTAGTCAGTCAATTTATGTGTTTTTCATTGTGAGTCATATGCTTCACCCATCCTCTTGGGTTGTGATATGTCATTCATGGAAGGGTTAGGTAGGGGTGTGGTGAATGCATATTGGTTTTTGAGCCAATTCATCTCATCTCCAGCATTATGTTTATGCAATGTCTTATTTAGTATCATAAAATCATTCATACTTAAAAACATTTTTTATTTTAGAATGTCTCATTCAACTTTCACCAAACTGCATTAAGAACATATTTATGGTTTAATTTTCAGTAAGGGCCTCCGACTTACAAGATGACATATTACAGTCCACTCTCAGTTTTGAAAGGGAAAAGCAAAGGAACAATGATCTTGAGGTGAGTCATGTTTACTTTCTGATTTGGCCTCCAGTTTGCACCAAATGTCAGAATGAAGAATCTGTGGCCTGCAGGAAGTCAGATGCTGGTGAGTGCTGCTGACATACTGCTTTCATCACTGAATCAGTTACATTTCCATGTGATGACCAAAGTCTAACAGTTACCTTAATACAAAAGGATTGGCATTGGATCTCTTTGATTTCAGTCAGTTGCTTCCACCAGTAAATCAGAATGTTGTCAGAGGCCCAGATAAGCTGCGTATCTGGGTAAAATACGCATAGAAAATTTCCAATTACGCATTGAAAAATAATTGTTGCGTACCAATTACGCACTTAAAATGTGAGATACGCAAAAAGTTTATAACAAATGCGTAAGGAATATATTTATAAAAATCGCTTGGGTAATGAAAAAAGACATCAATGGCTATCAAGTTGTACTGTTAGTATAGGACTAGTGTTGTACTGTCAGTACAGGATGACTGATTTTTTATGAAATCATTTCCATTATATTTAAGTTGGTTTTGATTAGGTATGACATAAGGCAGAACATACCTGCTTAGTAAACATATATACTTAATGACATCATACTTAGGTGAGTAAAATCACTGAAATACCCACATATTTGAAAGCAGTGGGTAACAGAAAATGAAATACCCACTCAACATTCATAATACCCACACCCAAAAAAATACAATGGGTACAGTACCCACATGAGCTAAATCTTATCTGGAGCTCTGGTTGGTGAATATAACTTCAGTAAATTAGGCTGTGGTCGTCATCTTAACTAATTAGGCTGGCATCTTCTGACCTGATCCCAGTTTTGAATTGATTCCTGTTAGTTAAAATGGACTGATTTTTACAAAATGACATAAGATTCTCTTCCAAATTGGTCATGGTATGGACAAATGAAAATTTTGCAATAAAAACTTGCGAACACGATATTCAAAAGTTTTTCTGATGTCATTTGCCTCAAGCAATATCACTCCAGTAAACATTACTTTCACAAAGGTATTTTCAGTCGACAGTCATGTTTTCAAATTATCCTTCATCAAGATTCTTGACACACAGTACTTTGAGAGTTTGTGATCACCGTCTACCCGAATGATTGTAACCTCCATAATTCTTCTGCTTGGGATACCTTATGGGTTATTTCAAGCTGGTTATATAATAACAGATTTACGACAGAATTATGGTAGCAAATGGTGAGTGAATCAATAGTCATTTCATTGACCCTGAGTTACTTTGGTTGGTGCCAGTCGATCAGCTATTGACCATAATTGGTTTTTGTTGTTGCCAGTAAAATAGTGTATGGTTCCAACTCTGCACTGTGTCTGATCTTGAATGTGTTATTACATTTTGTTAAGTGGAGCAGAAAAACATAACCTATTCTATACATATGGTAGTTTTATTATTTAGTCACCATAGTCTATTGTCTACAGATTCCTTTGTTTGTGCCAGTTTAATATGCTACAATAATTTCTTTTAAAAATTGTGCTTGTAAATAATTTCAGAAAGAACCACCTCATTGTGATAATATGTGCCAAATTATTTCATCATCTAATTTAAATCAAACAAGAATGGACCAACAAGGGCGCATTGGCAACTAAAGGAACAGCGCGAAAAGCGAGATGCACGTGCATTAGTGACGTTAGAGACATGAGATTACTGCTGATTGACAAAGTGAGAGAAAATGGAAGTCTATAATTTACAAAGTCTATGATTTCTTCACAGATGAAAATGACAGGGGGTGACCTAAGTATGCAATTACGGAGTACATACAGGGCACTGCCTGTGCAGCTGGGGTACGTGTCATCTCGCCAGCTCAAAAATTTGTTGAGAACCCATTAACGCACGTGCATCTCGCTTTTCGCGTTGTTGCTTTAGTTGCCAATGTGCCCTTGTAACAAACTGGAAAATGCACAAATAAATGATGACAGTTTCTTAAACAACTTTTTTATTTTTGTGACACAAATTATGCAATTGTTTTCTAGAGTTGGTCTGTTGTTTTTATTGCAGTCCGGGTTGGTTTCATTCTTTTATGTCTATTTGTTTTTGTGTTAGATTGCAATTCATCGGTATCATTTTGTCTCAAACGGACTGTACCTATCCCAGACAGCTTGCATCTCTCCATTCTCTGCCCTTGAGGATATCAGGTCTACTAGAATATGTCTTCACAACAGCCTTACGTCAGTGTGCAAGAGATAATCACTAAGGAGGGAGTCACGTCACCTTGTAAACACATCATTGCTTTTAGAGCTGCTTCAAGTGTATCAAATACTGGAGCAAAGTGACCCCTCTAATCCTGTGATCAAATGCAACAATTTGCAGCAATCTGTGATCATCTCACACCATCAATTTCACTGGAACGAGCCGCAGATATGTCTATTTGCACAGGCGTCATTGTGGGATCTAGATTTTCAGGGTTGATCAATCGAGACGTAATTTAAAGTAAATTTGTGGCCTTGAAGCAATAAAAGAAGCAGGAGTTATATATGGAAATGGCAGTCTCTTTATTAGCACTTCCATTTCACTATGGTGATCACATCGATTGATTTTTAGCTGAATCCTGATATTCAGAGTATCAATTTGTGTTTCTATTTTCGCCTGGAGGACTTGACATTGAGTTGTTTACCCATGCCAGATACCTATTTACAATAATTGCCGTCATGGGAGCTTGCAATTTATGATGTCAGTTGAACATTGTTGATGTAGATAGTACATATTTTGGGATTAAAATGTGTGGTCTGTTTCTTCTTCTTTTTAAGACTGATATCAGTGCCATTACCTTCATACCAAGATTTGGGCTGTTCAAAACATGGGTAAATGTATGAAGCTCATTGTTTGTATCTTCTGTGTCATATGGTGGGAATGTAGCATTAAAATCAGCTCACTCACTCACTCACTCACTCACTCACCTCTTATAGTTTGGCATGAAATGCATGTGGACCCGTTTTTTTGTAAATATCTCTTCATCCAATGACCCAATCGATCTCAAACTGTGCAAGTGAATGTTTTGTCAGACAACCTAATCACATTGTAAATCACCGATTTTAGGCATTTGTATTAAAGAATTTGTCTATGTAACTGTCAACAAAATAAACAGCAGACCGCAGACTGCTTGCAGAGGGAGGGGGCCAATGACCTGTAACAGCGGCATAAGGGTCAACGTTCGTCAATGTAGGTCATCTATGCACGTGACAGGTATGAAGAAGTGTTCATTTCTAGCAAATAGCCGGCGAATGACATCTCTGATGACCCTGATGTCAAAAGAATCTAACTTTGGATGCCTACCTTTTTGTACAAGGTTTTGTTTATTGGTTGTTGGTTTATTTTTCACAATTTTTAGCACGATGTTCTTTTTCATGCCAAGAGCAAAAGTTGTACGTTTCATGTAATCCGACACCTTATAAATCAGTTTGCTATGTTTGCTCTCTTTTTAAAAAAAATTCAACACATTTCTAATTAAACGTTTAGCATCATCTGAATAAGCTTTCATGATGACAGCTAGAAGTAGTCAATGTGAATGATCCAAACGGTCTATCACTGTGCAGTGCACAGGTAACTATCATGAACTGCACGTGCATTGACCTTTATGACCCAACACTGCCGCTGTTACAGGTCATTGGCTCCCTCCCTCTGCAAGCAGTCTGCGGTCTGCTGTTTATTTTGTTGACAGTTACATAGACAAATTCTTTAATACAAATGCCTAAAATCGGTGATTTACAATGTGATTAGGTTGTCTGACAAAACATTCACTTGCACAGTTTGAGATCGATTGGGTCATTGGATGAAGAGATATTTACAAAAAAAGGGGTCCACATGCATTTCATGCCAAACTATAATACCCCTTCCCATCCTGACTTTCTCAGTAACTCATGACATCTTGACATGCAAAATTAGTTTCATTCCTAAATTCTCTCTTGCTTATCTATACTCAATAACCACCCCTGTAGTGTACTGGATAGAGCACCTGCCCAGACAATGGAAGGATGGTGGTTTGATACCTGGACACACCATACCAAAAGACATTGACAGATGGCACTTGTTACCCTGCCTGGGGTTTGGCATGAGAGGCTACAGCATGCATTGGTCAGCTCAGAGGCTGTGTGGGAGTTGGGGTTACAAATACAAGTTAAACTGTGACGTGCTGTGTGGGTAGGCTACCTCTATCAAATTTGCTTTAGTCCGGACAATAACAAGTAGCCACACGTTCAAGTGCATGCGTATATACAAGTGCAATAGTCTTGAACAAGAAGTTAAGCCCCTTTCACCTTATCTCATATATCATCTTATCATATATTTTCAGACATCATGTCTTATGACAATCTACTCTAGCTATAACGACTGGGTAGCATCGCACAGACATTGTAAATATTTGTATGATGGCTTGTTTTGAAGGTAAAGTTGTCTTCAGTAAGTCAGTGACATGTCTTAGTGACAATTGTTCATGTGTTAATCGAGAAGACAATGGATGTTCCTAATTATATATAAGCATCTGAAACCCATAACACAAGGATAACCATCATTGTAGAGCTGTGATGATACATCGTAGTATCGATAATCGTGATACTTTATGTGATACTTTTTTCATATTGTGATATGTATCGTTGACCTTAAAATTGTTTATTTTCCCAAGAAATTGACAGTTATGTCAAAATTTACACTGTTATCAAAATATACTTTTTTAAAGGCAATAACTAAAGATATAGCCTATCATGATATGCATCGAATCGTATCGTTTCAAGATATCGCGATACGTATCGTATTGTGAAATTTCTGTATCATCTCACCTATACATTATATGTAACATTTTAGTTTATGTGAGAACTTGCCTGCAGCTTGTGTTTGTAATATTTGTCCGAGATTGCCTTCAAGATACCATAGATCCATGTTACATGCTAATATCTGTGTAAACACACATGATCTTGTGACTATTACCTACCTCATTAACTTTCGACAGGACAACAAATTGAGTTGTGCTAGGGGTGACTTGAGGCCATTCATGTGTGGGAACTAGATCAAATTACACCTCCTCTGCCCACTGACATTTTAGGCTAGTCATTGATTTTTTTAACCCACGACAAAATAAGTGAAGCTTAAAATTGATTTGAATTTAAGATATGTTTGTTTTGTCCTGCCAGGAGATTTTCCATTGCTGCAGTTAATCCCAGGGTGCAGGTCCCCCAGGGTAGAGAACTGATAGTGTCTCTGGACATTGCCTTTTTTATGACCCTGAGGAAAAGAGCTTCTTAATTTGATACCTTTCTCCCTCTAACCTGTCATTTTGAGATGATGACAACAAAACTGAAAGTTTCAATGTTTCTTTTGCATGAAATTGAACTATTATCAATGTTTTGTTTGGGATTTGACTCAGTTATTGTATTTCTGCCTGCAGTAATTATATCAGACTATTGGATTAAAGCATTTGTAGGATGAGTGTTATTTTGTATTTTCAGATGTATGGCTAAAGCTTGTCAGAATAATAATGTAGGCTTTAAGTGCTAAGTATGATGTTCATACTTGGCCATATGTCTTTCATTTTTTATGAAGTATCTTATCTTTTTCAAGGAAATATGTTATTGTGGAAAAATATCTTTTCTTGGTTTACAGCTTTTAAAAGAAAATATTCCTTGTAGGCAGGTGGGGAAAAAATATCGAAGTCATTGTAGTCTATTTGTTCTTAAACAATAGACATGAATAGTGCATGAAGCCAGTCTTGCACGTTGGGGTAATGTATGCTGAAAGAAAATGTCATAGTTGGTGAAATAATGAAGATACTAGGGCTGTGTTTTGGCAAATGAGTACAGGTATCCATATTGCAATATGGATGGCAGAATAATTCCTAATTTCTACATACTTAGGCCCTAAAAATATGTTATGGTTCTGATAATGGTTCAAAATTAGGTTGGGTAAATAGGTGGGTTTTTTATGGTATGTAAAGTATGCCATTTGCAACAAAATTAGGAAGGGAGACATCAGTTGTGAAGGAAAGGCTGCATAGATTTTAACTTAAACAATAGAGATGATAACCAAACTTGTTACATTATTTTACTCAAAATATCTGTACTCTGATTTAAATATTGTAGTATGTATTGCTTGAAGGATATTGGAGTATACCAGTACACAGGTAATACTGTTCATTCCTAGTAAATAGTGATTCATTAATGATCTTATTTTTTGTATCAATACACTGTGAGAAATGTTGTGTGGTAAACAAGGTATGCTAAGAAACATGAAATATCTGATATATGTCCAACAATAGCCATGGGGAAAACACCACTGACAATCAATCAAGGTTGCCAGGATTAACTAAGGATTAACATCTGACAGAGGTCAAATGGTCAGAAAAACCTTGGGGGAAAAAAGTTGGTGAAAATATTTTAAGTCTTGTTGATTTGCCTTATAACAGTGGAATTCTGACCCCTGACCTGTGACTTGGTTTATAATTAGGTTGATGTCATTGCCAGGTCTTGTCCTATTACTTTTTTATTTCATCAAACAATACAGTATGAGCGAGATAATATAGTTGACAAGTCACCTTTTGTCTTGATGTAGCATTGACTACTGATTACTTCATCTTCAATGATTCCCTGGTTTTAGTAGATAGACCAGTATTTAACTGGCTTTAAAGGTCACATGCAACGTAAAACACAACTTTGCAGATTCTGATACCTTTCGGTATGGACTTACCGAAACAAATCGTCAAAAATGCAAATTCAACTTATAAATTTGAAAAATAACGCTTCACTAATTTTCCCCCGACTTTTCGGGGGAAAACTGGTTTCAACAGCTGGGCTGCGCTCATAGCACGTGCGCAGTGAAATAGGTTCGCGCAGCTTGGAAGCCGGTTGTCCGGTGAATACTCAGAGAAGGCTTTGGTGTGAGCTATTTTTCTAATGTTTTGTTGATATCTCACAGGCGCGAGCTTTTTTATATGTTATGACAGTAAATTAACTGTTTATATAATTTCATTTGTCTATTTCACCACACGTTCTTCTTACTGAGTCACTTTCTCAGTTTGATACTTGAAATCAATGTCATTATTTAGCGTTGACAGAATTTTTAACTGTGATATAGATATGTCGTTGTCACAGACAAAACTCAATGTCTTGTTTTATTGACACCTGTGTGTCTGCCTGCCTGTCTGCTAATGACAATATTCAATACACAGCTGCTATCACTGACCACATGCAATTTGAACTTAACACCAATCAGGCTATACACCATAAAAAAAATGCATTGATTTATGGCCCGAGTTCGGTCTCTGTCACATTATGTAATTACACAGACAGGCAGGTGTGATACTTGAACACATGACATGCAGAGGTAGAGATAACTTTTTGGGTCATTGAGTTATGTACTCCCTTGTGTTCATCTCAATTGGGTATCCTAATTTTCCTTTGAGTAACCAAATAAATTGTACTCACCTCAATCAAACTCATTTGGGTATTTTGCCATTTTCCATTAATTTTAAAAATATAATATAGCTTAAATAATAGTGTTTGTGATTTACCTTTGATATCTAATATGAGAAACGATAAGAAAGACTGCAATATGTCAAGCTCATGTCCTAAAATAGAGCCTCTCAATATGTCAGCTATTTTATCTATCCACCTGCTTCGCAAGCTGGGACTTGACATTTTTGTGTGTACACATGTATTGATCACATTTATTTGAGTATTTACAAAACTTCAAATTTTGTTTATATGTTTTACTGGGAACCAGGTTTGTAGATAAATGTTTCATGAATTTACGATAATTGTGTTTCAATTATCTTTACCTCTGGACATGTTATGATGTCCTGTTGAATTAACTCTGACTTATACAAGTAAAATGAGCATGTATTTACAAAAGGGAATATCTCTCATATATACAAACCTGTTTGTGTGTGAGGGGGTTGGACATTTCCAGCTAGCTACTATAGAACTGCTCTGTTAGAGAGTTCCTAGATGTCCATCATTTATGGTCTACCCCTCTGATACGCTGATAGACAGTACCCCAAATCCAAGACATGTTTCAGTCTCTGTATGCTCATTCAATTTAGGCTTTGTGACACAACAATGTATACTTTACCCCCCGAATATTGGGGATATTGGGAATCATCAGGACACATCGCCTGATCCATATACTATTGGGATCAATCTAGGAAATGATGGGGGCTCTAATATCTACTGATGGAGTAGGAGATGAAATCTATTGGCTGCCATCATCAGTAATTCAGTTGTGGCTGAGATGGTGTGGACTAGGTCATTAAAGCAGGATTGACAGGGTGGATCAAATTCAAAATTTCTTATTTTAGTGTATGCCATCATCAGTAATAATCAGATAAAACCACCCACTGTTGGCTTGACATACACAAACTCCTTGATTCACAGCATGAAAAGTGCTTCTGATAAAATACTGTAAGTCATCAGTTATTACTGATAAATAGCACTGTTTTATTTTTAGGATAATTCTCATTGTTACTGAATGTTAGAAAATATCAACAAACAATTCAAACCTAGAGTCAGTAGTTATATGTGTGATATAACTACTGTTTGTGCTTGAGCCATGAAATGTTACTTCACAGTACATCGTCGGTTGCGTGAAGTAGACTGTCTCAACTGGATTGATCAAAACAATGAAGTAATGAAATACAGCAGTGCTGGGACCAGAAAGCTGATTCAGCATGTATTACTAGTAATCAAGCTGACAGTGCATTAATGTTTTTATGAGCTGGCCAGTTTTTCCTATAGACAGAGCAGTGTCTGATATCATTGAATATGCTTCAATCACCAACCAAAGTTTCCTTTCCAGGGTTTCTCTTTCATCTTTGATTGTAACAAAGTGCATGGACAATAAAAATGTTTCTTTTGTGTCAGCCATAAGCTGAGTGTAACTCCAAGACTGAAAGATTAACCTATCTACGAATGTAATACTGCAATGACAGGAATGAATGCAAGTGCTTACAGTGTATAAGAAAATGTTGTTTAAAGCATCATCAAGCAGTTTTGCAGCCAGTAAGTAGTAAACACATGTGGGTCAGGCAAGCCAAACATGAGCAAATCCATGCATTTTGGGCACATTGATCTGATCCATTTCTGCCATCTCTTATAGCAAATATTGGTTACTGTGGACCAATCCTTTTCCAGAATCCCCCAGGAATGCAATGAAATCTAATAGGACAAAGAGTACCATACATTTCACAAGACAAGATTCTGATAACTGTGTCTCATAGTAAATAGCATTCTTTATAAATATGCATGCTCATACTGTTAATAACTGGATTGTCTGGTCAAGACTCGATTATGTACAGCTGGAATATTGCTGAGTGCTGGGTAAAACTAAACTCATTCACTCACTCTAAATATGCATATAATATTATCTTTTGCCACACAGCAAGGTTTCTTTAACTGGCTTGGCATATAGAATTTATGCCTGCAGTCATATGCTTCATCAGTCCTTTGTATCCTTTGAATAGTAGGGCTTAAATCTTAGTATACACACATCTTGGGTTATCCATTTTTTTTTAAATTGAACATGTCATACCCAAATGATTATACAGACGTTCATGTCCTAACATCCTCTTTCTTTTTAACCTGGCACCTATGCCATCAGTATGTAGACCAAAAAAACACTCTCACTTCATGGACCTGCAAGATGTAATTATGGCAAAAAGGTGCAATACCACTTAAATCAACACCCTAACAAGCATTGTTCTTATTAAACTTTCATGGAGTTCTTGTGCTGTCAGTTTTCTTTCCAAAGAAATGTTCTATGGTGAATGTATTTTGTGGGTGTGTGTTTCAGGAAACACTAGCTGGCACCAAGCTGGCCCGGCAGCTGGACCTGCGAGACATATGGAGGCTCGTACAGAAGGATGTGGAAACTGAATTTATGGACGATCAGGTAGGGACAACAGAGTACAGGGCTGAACGGTATTGCCAAGTCTGGACAGGATCAATGAACATTGCACAAATGTACTGCCTTTCTCACTGTCGCCTGTTTCCCATTTTGGCTAAGTCTCTAAAGCATCACATCCAATTTCTGTGCATCTGAACCCGATCTGCTGACAACTGATTACCAGGTCAGGTAGTTCTCCACATCATGTGTTTTCATATCAGGTTGCAGTGTGTTTCTGGGTATATTTCCTGCATGTGCTTAATGTTGAGGGGATTCAATCTTGGCAGAGATAAAATGAAGAACCTACCTTGCTACCTCTGGGTATGATGCAATTCTGGAGATGGTTCCAGGTATTTCGGTGGGGCACTGGGGTAGCCTAGTGATTAATATGATCGCTGCGATCATGCTACGGACCTGGGTTTCATTCCATACATGGGTACAATTTCTGAAGCCTGTTACTGGTGTCCCTTGAAGTGACATTGTTGGAATATTACTATAAGTTGCAGCAGACTATTCTCATGACCACAATGAACGGATACAAGATTGCACTATGTTGACATATTGTTCTGTTGCAAGTCATCAGAGGTGTCTTCTCATACTCCGGCACAGCGATGACTTAACATAACATCACTGCCATAACATCACTGCAACAGGCTAATTTGCATATCACGTGACCGGACTTTTCTCTTGTTTGTAATCAAACGCGCATATTCATAATAAGAAGAGACTGGACTCACGAAAGCTTTTCGGCGCTCTCTTCATAATGTTTTACATTGTTACATATATATTCTTCCATAACTGCGAAAGTTAGGTCTATGACAGTACATATTTAGATATCAAACTGGCTGCATCGTTTGCTCTCCGTCGTCTTCGATGACAGCACGTGGAGCCGTACAACCTATGTAAACAAAGGATCGCTACGCAAATCGAAATAGTGTTACATGTTTTTGGATATTTTCTCAGTGAAACTAAACCATTCTATTAAAGATGTTTAGTTAGATGTGTAGACTCGTCAAAAATAAAAGAGTAAAAGAAATCTGTACATTATATTGAATGGACATTGCAAGATGTGACGAATCGTCACATTTTTCTGGCCTGTGGCAGAGGTACTATGCTGGCTTGGCGCATGGAACTCTGGGTAGGAGAGTGGTGTCTTCTGTGGCTTGGATCGTAAGTGAGCAAGTCAGCATTGTGACGGTTTTGTTGAAAACTATGTTACCATCATTGTTGATTAAGGTGATACCACCAATGTTCAAAATATAAATAAGTCTGTCCAGATCTTGAAAAGTTCTGGAAGGACTGGTGACATTTCCACATAAACTATTACTTTGACCATAAGTTGGATGGTGACCTGGTTGCAGAACATTACTACAGAGAAGCAAAAAAAGGAGGAATTTCTATCCCGTGGGTGCCTTATTAAACCACTGGCCTAAACCTCAGTGTAGGAGCATGTCTTTTGTTTATTGTATATACCCTTGCAAAGCCCTAAATAGGTGCTAAGCGTTATGTTGAGTTCTGACACATAATGCATGCTCACAATTGCGAGCAACCTCATTGTTTACAGGTCTTCATTTCTTGCCCAACTGGCTGATCAGCCTCAATTAGTACCCTGTAAACTAATAGTCTCATCTTCTCATTTTCAGAAGCAGTGTTAGGAACCTAATTATACCTGTCACAAATGTCTGTTATTTGCTAAGGGAACTTCAAGCTGTCAGCGGAGTCCAACAATTCAATTTAGGTCTTTTCATTGAAGAAATTTCCAATTTCAGAATCTCCCCTGTCAGATTTTAACAGAGGCATGCAGCTTATCCAAGTTTTTCCAACTCATATTAAATCTATGTCCTTTCAGTCTTAAGGACAGCTATGATATTTATACTTCCTCATGGATTTCTGACTTGTTTTTTGTTTCATACTTGTTTTACCAGGCAAAGGGAATTACCATTTGGGCAGTTGTTTGTTTTTGGATGAATTAGATCTTCCTCTTGGAAGATTAGATAATGCAAAATGAAGATTTGAAAAATCATGTTGTCGCCCCAAGGACTTATTTGACCTTGCAGAAATTCTGGTAACACATTTTGAAAAAGTTAAAAGATGTAATCATATAAACTGTCTAAAAAGATTAATTAATGTTACTTTTCAAGATATTTAGATTCTGTTATGATTGGACTTTTGGACATTTTAACCATGTGTATTGATCTTTCTCATTTTCAACTGGATAATTCCTTGCGCTGGTGTTTGTCTGGTTGAATAGACTTCATTGTCTTCTCTGTTGTACAGGAACGGTTATTACCAGACATCAATCTTAGGTGCCTGGCATGAATTAGGCTGTATGACTTTTGTTTGTCTCAGGATAACTTTTAGTCTAGCCCTGATCAGCAGCCATGATATATTCCAGGCGTTGTCTGTGATCATGTCCTAGGTCTCGGTGCATTTCAAACCAGCTCACACAGCACTGCTGTTTTCTTCCCAAGAGAACAGTTCAAAGAATATGGTCAGAGATAAATTGACGATTTGTGTCTGCTAGGCTACAGAAGGACTTAGGTGTGAAATTGTCATATATTTACTGAGGAAAGCTCTCTCCACAGGGTGCAGCTGCTGGTCTGGTCTGTGTTTTGCTGTTTCAAAACTGTCAGACTTACCTTTAGGTGGAATGCAAAATTTCAAGTGGATTCTGCTGCATAGAACTTTTTATCCATGGAAAATGTTTAGGATTTGTGTTATGTTTTGACTGGTGTGTTGAAGAGCATGTCAGGCAGATGCTAACATCTTTGATTTTCAGGTTGATGAAAATACCACAACATATCTCCCATTTAATTTCTGATAGCTATATGTGTGTGTGTGTGCGTGCATGCGTGCGATAATTTGGATGATACTGAATCTTGTCACAAGTGTCTCATTCGACAAATCAGTCATTGTGCTACGGATACGTTAATGTTACAGTATTGAGTCACTTGTGGAGCCATCTTTAGAACAAATAGCTCAGAAGACACATCGAAGGCTTTTCACTCCAGTTAGATTTTTATGGAGAAACAAAGGTTACTGGGTTGGCAGACTTGGAAAAAGATACTATGACATATACTTGTTGATGATGCTGCTGCTTATGAAATTTTATATGAAAGTTCACAGTTCTGTTTCTTAAATGCTGAAACCATTCAAGATTTAGTGATCCCTAAGTAAGCTTAGCAAAAGGACCCAAGACTTGCTTGTGACTCTACTATGATTGGTTTGAAGTGTAAAACCAGGGATTCAGCTTTATGCAGTTGCAGTATTAAAGACTTTGTGTCTGATATCTATGTAAAGGTCATCTAAATCTGTTTTTTCTCCTAGAAGGATAGCCCGCTGTCCAGTTCCACAGACCTGTTGAAGGAGCAGATCTCCAAAGAGATTGAGACCCTGAAAGACAAGCTGGTGAAGCGCCAAGTGGCCCTGGGAGCTTTGGTTAGTAAGGCTCATCCCTGTTGTCAGCTGTTACATAACAATCATGTACTAGGAACAGAAAGACATCCAGTACCATATAACAGGGCCCTACTCCAGGAAAGAACCCTTGTATGTTATGTAGACACACAAGATTTCCTTTCTGTCTGTTCTTTTCTTTTCTTTCTTTTCTTTGTTATGATGTACTCCGAAACTTGGTTAAACCAGTAAAAACAGAGTTGAGTAGGTACGCTACTATTCTGAAATATCCTTTTGAACTTTAAATGTGACGTTTTGCATGATAAGTTGAATATGTTTTGTTGTGTATAATAATCCATTAATTAAATGAATTGTGACTTCAGTTTGGAATCAATTCACAAGTCCACATCAATCATCTCTTTGAGGCAAATGATCGATGATTGATCGTGGATCATAGTTTTTACTCTGCATGCTGTTTTTCACCATGAATGATATAGATTATTGTGACAAACAACATTCTAAAGAACATGCGTCACTGGCTAGTACTGAAACATAAATGAGTTTCCATCACTGAAACATAAATGAGTTTCCATCACTGTGATATAGTTTTAAAAAAGAGGTGCAGGAAAGAATATTTTTAAATCTTAAACCATTATTTGATAGATGAATGTTGTCTATGGACAAGAAATTGATTATGCTGCAGCCATTTTTTCATTGCTGTACAGTAAAAAATATTTGGCTCCTGTTTAAGAGCATGTGACAAGTCTGTGCTAAAGTCCTCTACAAGCCCAAAGTCCCTTGACATCATTTTCAGGAGACCTTAGTGTTAATGTATGGACTTTCATTGACAAAACTGATAAGATCAAAATCCATTTTACCCGACACCAGCTTCAGACAAGTGGCTAAATCTCTGTTACTTGATGTTCCTGACCGAATCCTTATCAGCAGTATGGCCTGACACCAGTGTTTTCCTTGTCTCCAGCTACAGCTTAATATAAAGATGGTTTGGACTAGGAAGGTTTCACTGTGTATCAACAAGATGCCAGCTTAGTGTTGTATTTAAGTGCTGTGTCAGGGATAGCCACTCCCTTTCTGCATCTATAATCATACTGATCTTCAGATCTCACACCCATTTTGTGTTTGGAAAGCTATACGAGCAATTATACAGTAATTGTTAGTGGGCTTATCTTCAAGTATGGGTGTACACTTGTGGGATGAAGGTAATTGGTGGTCAGAGTAATGACCATTTGGGGTGAGGGCACATGTCAAGGAGGTGCTTTGTCTGTCTCTTTAACAGACATTTTGCTGCCCAGTCACCATGGCTTATACACATGGTGCAGCTGTACTTCAGACACATGTCACTTGGAAGTTGTGTATGATCTTACTGGGGGAAGTAACTCACATTAGTTTCATAAAGTACCAGTATATTAACTGACTGAAAACTCAGCTTGCTTACAAATTGCATAAAATAATCACTATAGAATTACAACGGAAATAATATGAACACACACATGGAATGACAACTCTTCACAAACATTTAGATTTCACCTCAATAAATTAATAAAAAACAACACAATAGCGACGTTTTGGTATAGGTTCTTATACCGTTTTCAAGCATATGGGGGACTGATGGGGTACAGCAGTTTATATACAAGATAAGAAAATGCGATAACAATAACAAAAATTGAGCATGAATGTGTAACTTTTTTATCAATTTATATCTTTAACAGTTAGATAACCTAACAAATCAATACCCAACAAAATAACTATGTGATGAGTAAACTGACTCACACAACTTTAGCATGTTCTCTATCCATGCCATCTGCCTGCATGATCTATCCAGGAAGAGTAAGGTTAATTGTTGGATTCCCTTGCCTCATCATCCAAAAAGATGTTAAAACATTGTACTTGTTGTTGCCTTGTCTTTTGCTCAGCTTTAAGGGTATAGAAACAGGGACCAGTTGGGTCTGAGTGAAAATATTGTGTTTGAGTCCATGGTAAAGTGTCGCTTTATTTCTAAATGGGTTTGCACTATCAAACTGTCATTAGTCTTGACAGGTACAAGCAGCCACACACCCATACACACATCCCTGTACATTACTACATAACTGCAATAATGGTGCACTTCACCTCAACACAACTCGCTTCACCTCACATTTCCTCACCCCATCCAGTATCACCTCACATTGCCACACTCCATCCAACCTCACCTCACCTCACATCACTTCAGCCCACCCAACGCCACCTCACCTCAAGCTCAAGTCATTGGTTCCCAGTTGCGCAGATTGATGCTCATGCTGTTGATCACTGGATTGTCTGGTCCAGACTCTATTATTTACATACTGCCGCCATATAGCTGGAATATTGCTGAGCGCAGCGTAACACTAAACTCACTCACTCAAGTCACCTCACCTCACTTCACCTCTGTCTACCCCTGAAGATCCAGTTTGGAACCCCAGCTTGTCTTAAGAGGTGACTAACAGGATCAGGGCAGTCATATTATTCCAGTTGCGTAGATCAATACTGATAATGTCAGTCACTGGATTGTCTGGTCCAGAATTAATTGTTTACAGATCACCATCAAATGGCTAGAATATTGTTGAGTGTGGCATTAAACAACAAACAAAATATCTGTCTACTAAGGCTGTTACAATTCACTCGCATATTCGGGTGAATCGAACCGTAGCCCTTCATGAATTCAATTCGTTATTCGTGGTCACCAGAACCGAATATTCATGAATATTTACAATTTTTTAATGGAGTGTATTTTACTTGAACCCTTATGTCCTTTTTCAATATGAGATATGCAAGAATGCATTATGTACTAGCCTTGTAGTAGTGCAAGTCATGTTAGTTTGCCAAGGTCGCATAAGGTACTGTCAACTATAACTATTACATACCAAATTTGAGTGTCATGAGATGACTGGTTATTGCTGTGACAAATTAACACTGTTACCATGGGCAATCAATATTGTGCATCAATCACTTAACTACAATATTGTATTCGTGAATAATTATTCGTATTCGTTACCCAATATTTGTGATACGTATCATATTCGCAACATAGTGTATTTGTTACAGCCCTACTGTCTACACCTCTGTCCATGCTGCTGTGATTGAACACCCAGAACTGTCGGGCGCTGAACGGTACAGCAATGTTTCATCAGAATTTTGTTGTTGCAGAAGGGCAAGCCTATGAAGCTGAAGCTGGACTCATCGGGCAACTATTGTGAACACATGGACACCTCTCCAAGCTCCCCACTTGTTGGTAGGAGGACTGTCAAATATATTGATCTGGCAGCACACTGCTTAGTGTTACTGCCCGTAAATGTCACAATGATTTTTCCATGAAGTCCATTCAACATTAAGATTGGTTGGAACATTTTGGATGGTTACTGATTAGTGTACCCTATATTTTTCTGAAATTGTAGGGAATGAGTTATGTTTGGTTGGTTTCAGTGAAAATTCCAATATCTGTGTTTCTGTTAGAGGCAACAGAAATATAATTGTGTGGTGAAAACTCTGTGTCAGACACTCAAACAGAGATGTATTAGATCATAATTATTTTGATTTATTTGTATTGAATGAGGGAGTAATAATTGCATTTCTCTCATATATATATATATATATATATATATATATGTATGTATATAGAAGACAGAAGATCATAAAGAATGACTTTTTACTTTCTGTCTCATCCATAGTCTGGCAGGGAAAATGATTTTACCATGTGTGTTGTAATAAATTACTAAAATGGGAATTATTGGGGAGAAGCACTTGACAGTGATGACTGCTCAGACGCTGATCATGACAATGTGGTATGTTAGGTTGACCCAAGCTGGAATAGGTCTCCAGTACTCCATGGCTAGGGGTAAGAGGCAACTACTTTCAGTGCTGTGGTTTCTGTGATGTTGATTGTTTGATTGCATGAGGCATTGCTCATGATACCCCACAGGTCTGTCTGGACAGTTGTATTTTTTGACTGCTGACTGTAGTAAAACAAGAAACAAAACTAACATTGCCACATTGCAGTGACATTGTAACTTGATGCAGGTATACCCATAATCAGTGTTTAAAATGTATACCAACTGGTAGACCTGTGGCAGGTAAATCTCTGTCAGGCATTTTAGTGTCAAGTTTGAATGGTTCTTTGTGGCCTCCAGTAAATTTACATGTCCTGGTATTTGTCACAAAGTTGCAGTTGTTTGACAACCTGAAAAGTTTACTCAGGATCTGCAGCTTCTGTTGGTCTTGCCAGCCTAGCAATTTATTTAAACACTGCCCAACATTTAGATCATTGTTTATTCTGTCAGCCAGAGGTTTGTCTGGCCCAGAGAGGGGTTGGGGTAGCCTAGTGGTTAAAGCTTTGCTTGTCACGCCGAAGACCCGGGTTCAATTCCCCACATTGGTACAATGTGTGAATCCCATTTCTGGTGTCCCCCGCTGCGATATGGCTGGAATATTGCTAAAAGCAGCGTAAAACCATACTCACACACTCACTCACTCACACTGGCCCAGACTTGATCATGTGTCAGCATTTGTTAAGTATCACTGACTACAGTTGAAAGAACATTTTCTAGCATTAAACCACATTGCAGCTATTTTGATAATGTTGAAATAGGGTGTGTACTGCCTAAAATTCGATTGCAGTTCCTTCTGTATTCAGAGCATTTGATTGTTCTCTTTATGTACTAGATGCACTGACCATTGACTTCTTCAATGGCAACTACCCAACCACCAGACCCAACAAGCGTGCAAGCACACTCTCAGCCCTGAACCAGTACTCCTCCCTAGACAGAGACAGTTGTGCCGTGTGCCAGAAGAACAGCAATGCTCCATCTCACCACACCCTGTCCTGCCCTTCTCTCCATCAACGCCACTGCTACCACGACCCTGAGAGTCACAACAACTTCTACACCAACCTCAACACCTCCAGCAGCTCCAGCACCAGCGGTGTGGATGTCAGTCCAAGATGTTCCCGAAGTGTGGATGGACAGAACAGAAGGAGAGACTTCATCCGGAGTTCTATCAGATATGGCAGTGGCAGTCAGACGTCTGCTGAAAGCAACGCAAACTCTGACTCCTCCTACCACAGGCAGCATAAATATTCCCGTAGTGTAGGAGACAGGATGCATAAGAAGGAAACTGTCCATGTCAGGGTTCAAAGTCCAGCAGGATTCAGAAGACCCAGCTTTACAAATGCCATCGAAAATAGGAAAGACGCAAATGACAACAATGTGTCCCAGTTTACCCGAAGTCGAAGCTTGAGTTTCCAGGCTGCCATTGAACGTGGACGAAGGAGCCCGGTTGATGAAGTGGACTTTCTTTCAACCAGTCCAGATTCCACTCCAGACAGACCAGAGTACCCTCAGTATGTCCAGCAGGACATGGCCTCAGCCTCCTCCAGGAATGATGGCAAGTCTGTCAGCTTCCACCTCTCCACAGAGGAGTACTTTGACAGTTGCAGTGAGCTCCCCCGCCCACGACCCGGATCCAAGGTACCATGAGAGAACTGACACAACTCAGAGTACAGCACACGATGTAGCTTTCTCAGCACAGATTGCAAGGTAAAATGCATATAACATTGCATTGCTGAGGTTTTGAGGACAAATATGCAATACAATACAAGTAGTCTGGGGTCTAAAGGCAGAATTAGAAACTGCCAATTGTCCTGTCATCTTTACCAGTTTACAGTATGTTTAGTGTATCTATTTTGTTTCCTTTTTAAGTTGCTGCACATATATAAACTAGAGCATTAAACATTTCTTTAGAATGCTTAAAAAAATATAAAGAAAACCATTCAGTCAGATTAAATACCAGTCTGCTTAAGATCTTCAAAGAAAGAGACCGCCTCCGTGGTGTAGTGGTTAGAGCGTCCGCCCGGAGAGTGGAAGGTCGCGGGTTCGATCCCCGACCACTTCATACCAAAAGACGTTAAAATATGGTACTTGTTGGTCCCTGCCTGGCGTTCGGCATCAATGGGTACAACAAGGACTGGTCAGCTTGGAGTCAGTATAATGTGTCTGAGTGGGGTATTCATGCTTCACTGCGGCGTGGTATCTCAGTGGGCTAGCACTATAAAACCAGCTTAAATCTGGGCTAGTACAAGCAGCCGCACATACAAATACACACGCATGCACATCGTCATATGAGCGAAATATTCTCAAGCACGACGTTAAACCCAATTTCACCTCACCTCAAAGAAAGAAATCTCTTGAGTGCAATGTTCTTCAGAGTAAAGTATCATGTGAAGAATGGAAACATTTTTTAATATGTATTCTGCATTTTTATTTTGTCAGGCAAACTTCTGTCCAGTCAGCAAGGAAGCTGTCAACTCTGATTGAGGAGGAGTCAGATCTCTCTGAGGCCCTGAGTGATAAGATGGGCACACCCAAACTGATCAAACGCATTGTAGATGAGTATGCCACGCCCACCAAGAACAGGTGAGTCATGCATAGTGGTTAACCTAGGGTCTACCTATTGTGTGCTGCCAAGTCTTGACAGAACATGTGTTTGTTGGTAAGACTGTACTCAGCTATAAGATATGGGTTGTGGTTTTTTTTAAAGAAATATATGAAGGCAAACATATTACATGTAAAAACTGTTGAAATGTCTCTTTGATATTGGAGTACACATCATGTACTTAATGCAGTCAAGACTGTGGTCAACAAAGCTCACACCTTCTGTTATGGATAAAATATGTACAAGTTTTATTTCACATTACAGGTTTTGTGCCCAGATGTCTGAATCAGATAACTTTGTCTCCTTTGATCACACCAGAGATTATGACAAGGTAAACTTGAGTTTTGTCTTTTTTAGTTTATTTCTAGCTCACCAATACCAATGGTTCAAGTAAGCTTCTGGCATTAAGCTATGCATATTATCTGTCCATTCACAATCACTTCTAACTTCTTCTCAAATCTTGCATCAAAGAAGGACTGAGGTTCAATGTGTTTAGGACATTAATGGATGATTATGTCAGCATCTCTGCCTTCCATAACAACACCATGCATTTCATGATTGTGTTGTGTGAAAATACCTCCAGATAATTGCATGTTTGTTGTCTTGTTTCTGTACTTGATGAAATTATTCAAATATGATCAGGCATAACAGCAAACAACAATCAACCAGTTTTCAGCATTCACCATTCTGCAGCTAATGCTGATAAGCTCTTGCCATTCCCTGTCTGGCATGGACGTGTCTGAATCTGAAGCACATCAGTAGACTGTTTTACTTCTTCACGATATTCTTCAATCACCAACATAATCTCCCTAGACACTTAGGAAATTGACATGAAGGGGTGCCTATAAAAATCACACACATAGAGTTAAATTTGTTTTCAGAGATGAAGTGGAGTGAACAATCCTAGTTCGAATGTCATTGATGTTGAAAGTGATGGGATAATAACATACCACTTTTACAATCTCTGTTTTCCGTAACAAAAGTTTATATACACAAGATAGTGTGGGCGGCAATGTCTTGGTTGAGGTAGGTGGCAAGTAATTACAGATTGGTCTGGATGTAGCCCAGAAGGGACATACTGAAATGGCAAACACGAATAGAAGACAACATGTTTCCCTCAAATTTTGACAAATCACATCAACTAGTTATTACAAGCAAGAATCTTAATTAACATTTCATTTGTTATATTTTGTGAACATTGAAAAGAAGTTGAAATAGTGAAAAATATATTGAAATCATTCTTGTCAGAAAGCACAAGGGTTGGAAAACTGAAACTTCGGTGATGTCTATAGCAATACAACAGGAATCAGATACTGCGTGATGTTAAAGGCACAATGTCACACCACATTATAAAAATACATAATGCAGTTCTCTCAATAATACTAACTATCAGCCCTCAGGGAAGCTTCCATATAATTTATTAAATAAAATATTACGTATTGAGATTACAATATAAAAATCGAATGAATTATGCAATGTTGCATTAAATCGACTCTTGTGCCCTCTACCAGCCGAACATTATTTCAAGCGAGCCCCATAGAGTTCTGTCCCTTGTAGCGTTCTTTACGAATATCCTATAACGGAACTTGTGATTGAGATAAGTTCTGCAAACACCGACAACACCATGTGCAACAGTTTTCTTTATACAGTGTAATCATTTACATTCCATTATGGCAAGTGTTATCTGTTTGGAAGCTGTTTGCCTCGAAGTTTCAATTATCGATTTCATGCAAGCCGTAAGAGATAATAAGTCTTTTTTTTCATCAGTAGGAAGCTAAAGTGAGTGTATATGCCACCAATATATAAAATATAGTCCAAAATATTGTCCAAAATGTGTGACACTGTGCCTTTAAGAAGAAATTAATGAATTCTTGTTGTGACATGTGTCAGCACTATCTTCTGTGTGACACATTGATCCAGAGAGTTGATCTATTGGTAGGAAGTGTTGACCTACAATTAGATAAAGATTCATCATGGTATTGAGTTACAGCTTTAGCAGTAATTGTTCAGAATGTCAAAGTGATCACGATGAAACCTGATACATGATAGAGTTATATATTTTTTCAGTGTTTTTTCCATTGTGTCAGTAATTCGTAATGGTCATGCTTGTAGTCATAAACATTTAATATCATCACATTTCATTACATTAATAACATTCTGTCATCTCACATCAGATAACCACATGGCACAGACAGTAAAAACATAAAAATTTCAAACCCTCATTACAGAGTCACATCCTCAGTTGATGGAGACATTGAATATACAGCTCACTTTGTGTCTTGGTGCTGACTACCAACAGTGTGAGTAGTTTTTATAAAAACTAGGTGGCTTTTTCTCAACACTTCCATGTTGACCTGAGATTCTTGTCATTTAATCATCTGATCCGTCCATTTTCTTTGCACATGAAAACATGTCTGTCTCTTGAAGACACACCAGGAACAAGTCATAGACTTCCTATTCATCCGTCCCAAATTTGACAGCTAAAGAAATAATCGTTTTAAAAGGTCCAAACAGCAAAAGAAACTAATCTTCAACCCTGCAAATTAGCTCCACATGAAGTTAAGGACATTTTTTGCTGTCTTTCTATTTTTTGGTACATTTTTTTATGTTCCTCAAGACAGCATCCCGCACTGTTATTCATTTAATGGTCAGATAAAGAAACTCCTACCTACCTATTCAGATTCACGTAACTTGGACTTATTGATCAAACCACCTATATATGTTATTGACTGACCTCTCAGGGAGTGAGGAAGGTTGCATGCCTCCATATGACAATATTTTATTTCTTCTTCAAACAGACAACATTCAAAGTCTTAAATGTTTTTTACTGGGAACTTCATAATTTATGTTCTGTTAACAATATAATTTGTCTCAGAATGCAGACCTTGGGAAAGAAGCAAATAGCAGTTATGTCCCTTTGGCCATGAGTGACAGTGCAGCTGCCTCAGTGCAGTTGATGGTTTTTGTAGGAATAAAATATCTTTCATGTACTGATGTCAGCGTGACAAGAGATGCTATGTTTACAGCTCTCCTGTTTGTGGTGATATCTCTGGACAACTGGAGGCATGAACCAAATGATAGCCACATACATTACAACCCCAAACATAAGGATTATGGACTGTTTGAATTGCATACACTGTCCCAGAGCCGAAATACTGATATATGGTTTCTTACTGTACCTCTTTCATTACTACTAAATTTGAACCCAGTGAGTATATCAGTCTACATCATTTAAGGTAGTTTTAGGTCTTCCAGGTGTTTTACTGCAATGAATGTATTTGTGATTTTTTTTAATCAATTGATGAAAATTCAAACAATGGCCAGCCAGTTGGGAGATGGTGAGAATTCTTTAGGATATTGTCCAGCTTGCAGGGGTACCAAGCATCCTTGGCTCAGTAGTGGCCAGACTCTGCTTGTTGGCAAATTCCTGCATCTTCAAAACTTATGATGCATCATTCTTTTGTGGCTCAAACTTATTCATACTCTGAAACTAATGTAAGCTTTTAATTTGCGATATGAGGCAAGACAATTTGTTTTGGGTCAGAGGAGAGTAAGTCCTAAAGTTTTTCATTATTATGTGAAGTGAATTGTGTTCATTGTCCTTGTGATGTGTGTATCTAGGTTATTTCAGTTGTTATTCATACATAAATGTAAATATCAATTTGTTCACAGGTTACCTAAAAGTGATTGTTTTCAAGTCAGCTCTAACCGTGGTGTAGAATAGAAATTTAAAAGTAGCAATGGAAATGACAAGTAAATTTTGAAATCTTGTGTATCTGTTTGTGTAAGAATGCTAAGGTTATTGGATATGTTTATATTTCCCTCAGGTACAGACACCTAACGAAGCTTTATATGTTAACAAACATTTTAAGTAAAGAATAGGCAATGTTTATTATGGAAGCTGGGGAAATGGAATACGGTTGCTGAGCATCCTGAAGTCTCCCATTCATATTGGCATTTACTCCTGCATTCTCAAGGAGTAATTTGTCCGTATGACTGATGTAGTTCCTGTTGAAGGATGAATGTAGCGGTGTGAGTACATCTGTGTTTGACATGTATGTGCTAGTCAAACACATTTCCCTTACATCTGGCCTAGTGCCAGGGCAGAGCACTTCAACCAGTGCACTTCCCACATCTCATGGTGGCACTTTCACTTTCTACCTGGTGCGGGAGATGAGTTTCAGACTCTTCACAGTTCCATCTGACCCAGGATATTATTTTTAGATACTCCCATTTTCTGCCTTATTGGTGAGTTTTAGGCTTAAGGTGTAGTCTTAAAACTTGTTGATTTCTACCTGACCTTGGAGATGAGTTTCAAACCCTTTGACTATTTACCTGACCTTGGAGACAAGTTTCAAACCCTTTGACTATTTACCTGACCTTGGAGATGAGTTTTTAAACCCTTTGACTATTTACCTGACCTTGGAGATGAGTTTCAAACCCTTTGACTATTTACTTGGCCATGGAGACAAGTTTCAAACCCTTTGACTATTTACCTGGCCATGGAGACAAGTTTTAAACTCTTTGACTATTTACCTGGCCATGGAGACAAGTTTTAAACTCTATGACTATTAACCTGGCCATGGAGATGAGTTTCAAACACTTTGACTATTTACCTAGCCTTGCAGATGAGTTTCAAACTCTTTGCTTATTTACCTGGCCTTGGAAACAACTTTCAAACCCTTTTACTATTTACCTGGCCTTCGAGATGACTTTCAAACTCTCGCACTTTTTACATGGTCAAGGAGATACGTTTTGGGCTAAAACATGTGATTAGGCTGTAGAGTTTCACACTGATTTTTGTCAATTCAGAAGTCATAACATATGTACCCTGAATATGTACCCTGAAGAATGTGTAGATGTGTGTCAGACTTGTTTTATGCTGTATTCAGCCCTTTCAGCTAGAACTTGGAGACACTGTTTAAATCCAATCTGGACCAGTCAAACCAGTGATCAATAGTAGGGTGTGTAACTGCAAGCCTGAACTTTTGTAGTTACTCTACAGAGGACAACTTGATTGTAAGCTGCTTCCATGGTGTATTTGTTGGTGTGAATATACTGCTAGTTCTAGTTCCTGATGGTCCAACTGTACACTCTTACTACATCCTTTGTGAGCGAAGAAACTGATTTTTCTGCAGTGGTTAAAGCTAAAATGGACAGAAATACATGTACTGGCAGGTGAATAATTGCTGCAAAGGACCATGTTCATGACCTAATTTCTCTTGTTAGGAGGGAGTCACTATTTCTGAATAGGGTTAGCAAACTTGACTCTTGTAAGGAAATATTATGAAAACACTTAAGTACCATACCATCTGTTGGCAAGACAAACAAGAATGCCACAACAAGGTGATACATATTTAGACTGAACAAAAGATCAGTCATTATTTCTTTGCCGTTTTTAAAAAAATGTCCATCTTAATTGCACTCTGTGTAATGGTGATCTCTTGTTGGTGTCCAGTTGTATTGGGGTTGGGCTAAATGGTGATCTCTTGTTGGTGTCCAGTTGTATTGGGGTTGGGCTAAATGGTGATCTCTTGTTGGTGGCCAGTTGTCTTGTTGGTGGCCAGTTGTATTGGGGTTGGGTTAAATGGTGATCTCTTGTTGGTGTTGGCTCTTGTTGGTGGCCAGTTGTATTGGGTTACACGGTTGGGTTGGTGATCTCTGTTGGTGGCCAGTTGTATTGGGTTGGGTTAAATGGTGATCTCTTGTTGGTGGCCAGTTGTATTGGGGTTGGGTTAAATGGTGATCTCTTGTTGGTGGCCAGTTGTATTGGGGTTGGGTTAAATGGTGATCTCTTGTTGGTGGCCAGTTGTATGGGGTTGGGTTAAATGGTGGCCAGTTGTCTTGTTGGTGTCCAGTTGTATTGGAGTTGGGTTAATCTCTGTTGGTGTGGCCGTTTATTGGTTAATGGTGATCTCTTGTTGGTGGCCAGTTGTATTGGGGTAGGGTTAAATGGTGATCTCTTGTTGGTGGCCAGTTGTCTTGTTGGTGGCCAGTTGTCTTGTTGGTGTCCAGTTGTATTGGAGTTGGGTTAATGGTGATCTCTTGTCGGTGGCCAGTTGTATTGGGGTTGGGTTAAATGGTGATCTCTTGTTGGTGGCCAGTCTAACTGTTTGGTTATACTACATCTCCTGTCTATTCTTCAGCTTCTCACTGAATCTGAACATGTGATTCACAAACACAGTACCAGTTGGTGCACTTTTCCTCACTTTTAATTCTCCCTGCCCAAAAACTCCTCTTGGCATCAGCTGGTCCCTGTTGTTGATTATATCTCAGTGCATCATTACAGCAGATTTAAACCATCTGAGAGAAGACAGTGTGGTAGTCCTCCCACAAAACAATGCCTCTCTATACAGCAGACTCCGCATCTGTGTTGCAGATAGTGGACATACGCATCACTATGCCTGGTGTGATAACACCTTGAACAGCATGGTACTGGTCCTCTATGCTTGTTTTCCTTGGCATTGAGAAAGAGCCTGTTATTTTATGTGAAACTTTTTCTTAGAAAGTTTCTTCCTTGTTTCTATCACAGTATTTTACCAGAATACTATTGCTGCCTGATTACTTATACATCAGCCTTAAATTCTGTTGTTGCTACAATACATTTTACAGGCAAAATCATTTCAACATGTGTTGTGATGTCTACAATAGGCTCCAAATTTCTGTTTAGTATATATTGGAGAGACAAGACAGTATTTCTTTTGGATTTACATGAACAAAATATATGTCATGAAGTACAGCTTGATTTTGATATTGCATGCACCTGAGAAATGGCTTAATGGATAATTAGAGGGGGATTGTTTTCCAATCTGCTGCTCATTCCTAGAATTTTACATGCTGAAGTTGTAGCTTGTGTCATATTTGAAATCATTTACTTTGGGATTGAAATACATCATACAGTTTGGTCTTCAGTTTGTCATAAGAGGCGACTAATGGGATCAGGCCTTCAAGCTCCCTGACTTGGTTGATGCATGTCATTCTATCCCAGTTGTGTTGGTCAGTGCTCATGTTGTTAATCACTAGATTGTCTGGTCCACACTCAATTATTTACAGACCACTGTCATATAGCTGGAATGTTGCTGAGCTCGGCATTAAACAATGAAACATTTATGAAACGAAGTCTTTAATACTTTTTTAACTGCAGTCATTTCTTTTTTTAACCTACCATTCATAAATTTGGTGAAATTGCACTTGTCATGGCAATTTATCACATGCCAGACTGTCAGACTATCATGCTGCCCAGTTCAGTGATCAGAACTGAGGTCAGTAGTCATGCAGCAAGTCCTTGTCATTATGCTTACCCAGTATGTTAAAAATGTAACAGTTGGAGGTTCCTGAATCTGAATACCACAGGATCAAGCCACAAGTACCCCACATCCCTCGTTAGTGTTGACAGCTACACTATGAGGAATAAAACCCAGTTCTTCTACTACCTACTCTGGCATTAGCAGAAACCAAATGGTATCTGGGACGGTATCTGTGTCAATTCAATGTGCCTGTGAGGTTTTAGACAGATAAAGATACCACCAGTCTCAGCTGATAGCTAGGGCAGCAACCCTGTGGGTGATGACATCACTCAAGCATAAACGCTTCTGCCTTATATCAGTGAAAGAAAAACTTTACCCAAGTAGCTGAGGTCATAGGGCACCCAACACAGATCAAAATATCTCCTGATTTAATCTTCCCACTAATTCATACTAAAACTGAATACTTTGTGCCTCAAACATCGACAGATCTGTGATAAAGAATTACTACCAGGACAATATTACCCTCAAGTGTACATAAACACATTCCTGGAAGATCATTTCTCTATGACTTGTGTGAAGGCTGGTGAGGATGGGGCCATGGTGCTGTATGATTTAGATGCAGTAGTCACAGGGTGTAGTCTAAATGAGGCATAGCTTCAGGAGTCCAGCTATCCTGCTATAGGTCTGGGAATTACCTGTAGCACTCTGTGAATGGGTCCTGCTCATTAGTCTAGCAACCTTTGGCCTGCCAGCATCTTCAGGCCAGGGCCCAAGGATAAGCAGGGGGGTGTCTGCCTTCATGGATAATAATGTGGCCTCGAAGTTGGCAAGGTGTGGTGCCATTAAGGACAAGGCTCGAGGACAGGTACATTCTGCACGTTTCATGCTCAGTTTGGTGTTAATGTTATGTAAACATATGATGACTGGTGTAATGTTATACAAGTTATTATGGTACAATATAGTTGTAGAGTAAACTGTTTGTTTGGGATGGGTATGGGATGCCTGTATTGTGCATTCTGATTGCTTTGTAGAATGATTCTTATTGACTGAACACAATCTGGTTTATTCTATTATTGTGAATATTTTGTAAAAAAAAAATAATTTTAAATCATGAAAGTGGCTTATTTGAAGTATTTATATTAGTGTTAACTTTACATTTCTAACAATGTTCTCAGCCCTAAAATATAATCACTTGCGACACACTCTCGAATACTGTGTACACTGTACTGGTGCTTGACTGTGTGACTGTGTTGTCATCACTTTCTTGATAGAAGTGTAGAATAAAGTGAGGTAACTTTCTACATTTTGTGTTTGAAATCACTGAAAAAGTGTCATTATCATTCATCAGACTGAAGCCTGACTACCAAACTGATCAATCATTGCTTGTAGCCTGTTGTATTTTCTAGAATACATGTTGTGGTTCTGATTATGGACATAATTTATATTATTGATCTTTGGAAAAAATGATTGATTAATAGATTATAATTTGATTAATCAGATCTGTATCACCTATAATGTGTGATGCTGATGATAAATTTCTGGAGTTTTTCTGTCGTTGTGTATTTATTTTCATAAAAATATATGTGATCATTCTGAAAGAGAAGTTTTTTCCCTGTTTTCTTATTGTACATTTCATACTAATCGAGCCAAACCTAGAATTGATTTATTTCCATTGTGCAAAAAAGGAAACTTATTGCGTCAAACAGAAATACCACAAGAGCTTAAAAAAGTTAAATAAATAGCTTTCTCTACTAAGACAATGTTTCTCACAATTTCAATTCTTTTATCAGTATCTTCACATAAGACCTGAATGAAGATAGCAGATGTAAACAAAGAGAATGGCTTTAGAGCACACACACCACATGTTTACATTCATGTTCTGCAGAATAGCTTCTCAGTGTTGAAAGTACCTACCAAGCACCGTGCTCCATGTCTGTAATGGTTTACTTGAAATGAAGCAAATCATTGTAAGTGCCATCCAGTTCCTCCTCCCTCACAAACCTCCTCCCACCCACATGTAATCTCCCCCCTCCCAAGGATACAGCAAACACACTAACTGATGTTCCATGTAAGTTATGGGTGTGTCCCACTACACTGTAGTATTTAACACTCTAGTCTGTCTTCATCAGGTACACATCCTGGTGTTTGGTAATCAGAGAAGGAGGGAGGTGGCTGTGACATAACTAGGAGGAATAGGTGTACTTCAACATACTGCATTGAAGTATTCCTGTGAACATTCCAATTTGAGCTGTCAGTGTTCGAGGGGCAAGTTTAGCTTGACTTTGATGAGGTGTTGATGACGAGGGCTGACTGAAGGACACACTTGAGTTGCTACTACTTGAAATATATTATGTCTGGTAAATGCTCATAATTTTTACCTTTGCTGTTTCATCAGAGTTCCACACCAAAACCTGGGAGACAGAGACTCAAGTCAAAGGAGACGAAGCCGGAGAGAGAAGCCAAGAAAACAAGAAAACTAGTCAAGGTAGGTAATACTAGGTAGACTTGTTTCTATAAACTGACACCTAGTGGGATCAGACAAAGTGTCAGGTGAGAGTTCAGTTTACTCAAGATTTCTCAACTAAACAAAACAATCCTTGGTATATATGTATCAATTTGTAATAACATCAACTTAGGCCAGATCAACTGTTTCCTTGTTTCTTAACTTGGGTTAAAACAAAAATGTTCATAAGATATGATTCCTCTACGTTCTGTGAAAATGTAACATGTTCAATAGATGCGCATTCCACAGGTTAATAGCATGAGCAGCAATCAACACCAGTGAAAAATAATTACAATCAGCCAAACCACACACTATGACCACCTAATCCACTGTATATTTTCACCTGCCCCGATCTCGGAAATTCACAGAGCCAGACAGAATATCCTAATAGCCTACATAAATTATTCTCATAAAATATGAGTACATTGTATAGTTTTTCTTCATTCAGAACTTGGGCACAATGTGTGAAGCTCATTTCTGGTGTCCCCTGCAGTGATGTTGCTGGAATATTGCTAAAACTGGTGTAAAACCATACTAGGTCACTCACTCATTCAGACCTAGATATTTTTCTTATAAACTTTCTTACACAAAAATCACTCAGAAATTAATAGTTTGGATTATGTTAAAAATTCATTAGAGATGAGGCTGCTTCTGGTTGAAATTAACAATGGGTTTGCCTTCTTGGCCCATCCATGTGGTGCTTAATTAGGATGTGAAAATTGGAGATGTTTTTCATTACAGTAGCGAGGCTAATAAGTTCAAGAAGATTTACCTCCCTTTGCAGTGCCAGAAATATTCATGACAAGAAGACACTTGTAAACCGACTGCAACTTGAATTAATAATAGACCATATACGAGGGGGCGTTGAAAAAGTAGTCATCCTTATTATATTCTCGATGTCCAATGCTTGAAAAACTTCCATTTTATTTTGAAGTAATCATTAGGAAAGCCATATCCAAAATTTCACATATGTGGGTAATGTGGTGAACAAGATATTAGGCATCACAACACATTGGGGTATAATATTTCTTTAAAAATTGCAGAAAATGAAAAATGGTACCTCTTGGATAATGGTATGATATATATGATATTTATAATATCATATAAAATATGTTCAGTATAGTATTGGATGACTTCCCGTGATAATCAACATTCAAAGATTTGGATTGCTTGATTTATATTTAGACAGGGGCTGTTTTTGTTTTTTAAGGACACCCCCATTTTCATCTTTCAAAATCATTGTGTCCAGATATTCAAGCTGGCACTGTTTACAGTATACTGAGAGCTGACACTTGTGTGACCATTCAGTATTTAGTTTGAACCCTTGGCATCATGTATGAATAAGTGAAAACAATAGAATAAGTTATGTCCTTATGATTACGTCATCTGAAAGGGGATGGGTAGTGTCTTAAAAGCAAGCTCTTTCAGTAAACATGAAGGGGGTAGTCACTTTGCAAGTGATTGTAGTTTCAAATTGCTTTTTTATGCACTTTAATATCTAAGTTTGATTCTAGCAGGACTTCTGCCTATCTCAAACACACAAAATGTTTCTTGCATATTTTGTTTCCTGAAGTTTGTGATGCATTTATTGCAGATTTTGTGTTTTTTCGGGGGTACCAAGATAAAGAGTCAAACAAAATGGGGATCGGTGAGGCTGGAACATAGCAAAACCAGTTTGCTTGAGGTTGACAGATAAAATGTAGAAAAATAAAACAAAAACAGCTGCATTGTGTATAATTTTCTAGGTGAGGCTGACTACTTTTTAAAACACTTAGTGTTCACATCTGTCTGGAGCAGATAGCTGAAGGCAGGTAAATGATGGTTTGTTGGTATATGGTAACATGCTGCTACTGACTCCATGTCTTGATGTAGTAGTCAGGCATCACATGGAACTTGCTGATACACACACAGGTAACAGCTCTTTCAAAAAGTTTAGAAATGTACACAGTATTCTTGCATCAGTAAACATTAAAAACATATTTCTTTATTTGCATGTAAGTTTGGGTTCTAATTACTGTCTAAAACTGTAGGGTTTGAGTGAGTGAGTGAGTTGAGTTTTACGCCGCACTCAGCAATATTCCAGGTATATGGGGGCGGTCCAGTAGGGTTTGAATGCACAGCAGGCTGATTGTGCAAGTAGCTGTAGAACGTATAGTATTCTTATGTAATATTAATAACTCACTCAGAGAACTGTTTGAAACCAAATATATTCTTAAAAGCTTCTGTATAGTTCTATACATCACACGATTTCATGTATCAAAATAATCTCACCTTCTGGATATTCAAGCATAGATTGCACCTTTTGCAGTCAACTGATGTTTTATCTGGCTCAAACTATCAGGTGGTCTTCAAATGGCCTTGATATTGCACGGACAAGGTTTTACACTATGTGAAGCCCATTTCTGGCGTATAACTAAACTCACTCACTCACTAACTCGGTTATTTACTACGTTACGGTTGGTGTCATGTTACTGGAAGATTGTTGAGTGATGCTTTAAATAACACACTTACACTCGCACACATGCACACCTAAACACACATGCACATGCACAAACACACGTGCACACCCACATTAGTGAGTTGTTGGGTGATTCAGTATCTGTGTAAACAGTTGATCAGCTCACTGGTGTAAGAGGAGTGGCAAAACATGAGTGCTATAAATCTCAAACTGAAGTGTTGAGGCTTTTGTGATTCCGGATGTGTTTATTAGCCTTGATATTGAGACAATATATCGACTTTTTTCCTTATCCTGACTCATGTATTTTGCTTGTCTCCTTCCTCTTGCGAAACGTTAGTGGAACACTTGTATCTCCTTTTTGAAGCTCCCTTCAATAAAACAGATGTACAATCACTACTCCCCACGAGTTATCTCCCTCGCCGTCTTGGCGGGAAAACGGCGCCACCCGTCTTCCCACGCTTCACTCTCTCCTTCTTCACCCTAGTTGACGGTTGGGAGAGCACCTGTGTCTCCAATACGGCACTATATCCTTTGATTATTTAGTTATTACCCTATAAATTACCTTTATAGGGGTTTAGGGAGTATCCTTCAACGATATGGTTTGAAATGTATTCGTATTTTGACTGTTTATTCATGGTTTTGTACGTGATTGTTCAGTTGTTTACATTTCATGAAAACCTGTTTTCGTTGTAGGTTTAGGTTCCCTGCTGCAGACCCACATTTATTGTGCCCTAGCTGCACAACAACATGTACTTCCAGCTCTCGCTGTAGTCTTTATCAGCATTTAACAGAAATTCAATTTCATAAATATTTTTTTCTCTGTACTTAGGCGTACTAGCGACAATCCAGGCAACTTTTACAAGTCATGGATAAACCGGCTGAGTCCCTCACGAGCTGTCTACTGCTGTCAGACGACTTACTTCCATCCAGTGACCTGCCGGAGGTGTCCTCGGAGGATGGGCGTGGGATGTTGTCCGCCATTACTTCGAAGTAGAGGGCTTCTACATCGGACAACCCCTCAACGCAGACGAAGAAGAAGCCATCCTCTACGCAGAATGAAGCCTCACACCCCTAAAACGTCTAGCAGCTCAACGGGGACTTCTGCGCAGACTACAAGGACCTTTCGGCCGACATCGTCCTGATGGAGGAGAGATGACTTCATGATGAGCCGCTGCTGATCATCCCAGAGATACAGCACGCAGTCCGAGTTACCATCTACACTGGCGGCAGATGAGCGATCCCTGGACCATATCGCTACCAGCGCAGAGAGGGCAGCTCTACAATCATCGCAGACGTTCAACCCGGGGCCTTCATGCAGCAGTTCTCTCAGCAGATAATGGAGATGATGGAGAAGCGCTTCCCGCAGGAAGAGCATCACATGATGGACAGCCACAGGGCTCTCATGCTCAAGTCATCACCCGCAGAGACGACCTGGACCTGCACGAAGGACCCAACACTGACGATACATCGGAGAGGCCCTCCAGCGAAGCTAGCTCCAGGATCAAGAGCAGATCTACGCTACATGATGTCAACAACCTGCGCGCAGGACGGCACGCTCGTCTTCAGAGGATGAGGCACATGAAGAACCTTCACGAAGGCTACCCACCTCACAGAGGAAGAAGCCTAGGGCCAGAGGACGTCAACGGGACTCTCCAGTGAGGCATTCATGAACCTAGAGACGCTCACCTCCACGCAGGTTGCCGCGCAGATCGCCCTATAGACGCAGCGCAACAGGTTCATCTCCACGCAGATCTCCATGCAGATCACCACGCAGATCGTCACACAGATCCCCAGCGAAGGACGATCAACGATCTCATAACAGTGGACCTGATACAGACGTCACCCTCTAAGGAAGAGAATGCAGCACTCACGTACCTACTATACAGGACGTCAACGATCCTGCGCGAAGGAAGAGACATTCATCCGACCGAGATACATCGTCATCTGATGATGAGACTAATGAAGAGCATTCGCGCAGGCCATCTACAACGCAGAGACGTCTCAGGACTCAGACGCTCAACAGAACCTCTCACCTGCGCGCAGGTCTTCACGGACGAGCCTTCACGCAGGAGAAATAGACGTTCCCCAGACCTAATTAGACGTCATAAAGCAGACCTACGCTACATGACGTCAGCAACCTGCGCGCAGGACGGCGCAATCTTCAGAGACCGTCAGCAGATGATGAGCCTAATAAAGGACCTTCACGCAGGCTACCTACACCACCTAGAAGGACTAGAGAGACGTCTCGGGACTCAGAACCTCAACAAAATTTCTCACCTGCGCGAAGGTCATCTGAGTTATCTTCAAGGGCATCAACAACACCTCACAGATCATCACGGGATTCACCACTTTGGAATACATTGCCAGGAAGGCAATCCCGGACTAGAAGACGCTCACCTACACGCAGATCGCCATACAGACGCACCACGCAGACCGCCACGCAGATCACTAGGCAGATCTCCAAGGATATTCAACCATCATATACCAGTGGACACGATGGCGGTATCATCATTTTGGACTGGACCTAGCGTCACCCTAGAAGGGAAAGATCTTCACCGGCGCAAAGACTGAGGGACATGTATTGAAGTTCAAGAGGGGTACTCTTGTCCGAATTCATCTCCGGCGCAAACCTTCAGACTGAATCCAGGACGGGATTCACATTGATAGATATATCTACATCAGAAGAAAATAACGGCTCATGGCCATATAGAGATCTTCACTTCCGTACAGATCTGCAGATATTCACAGTGGCGTAGTTCAGTAGCAGCCTTGCTAAGGCTAGGAAACTACAAAATCATCGACGACTCCCTGGGTAGAATTTACAACAAAGTTCATCATCAACTCTACAATTACGACGCTTCATTGAGATCGATGTATGCAGTCTACAAATAGCAGCACTGAGGCCGTGAAGACTTCAGCTGATCATCTGTATAAAAGGACGTCTGCATTATCTTCAGGACTGAAGTAACAGTCACAGCAGCCAGGAAAACAGCCTACCTACATCGGTATTACGCGGAGAAATATTTCGCACGTTTACCATTCAACCCTCGATACACGTGGTCACTCGTGTAACTCCGGAAGGCTACGGACAAGACCGAGTGTTGATAAGATATCAACGGCGGCACTAGATTCTACAAGGACCTTTTTCCTGCTACACCGGTGACGTCACATCGCGGGAAGCCAAAGGAATCAAAATGCTTTATTTTGATTGGACCATGAGAGACAACGCCCTGCGCAGAGGTCGGACGTAGTTCACATGTCAGGAAATGGGTTACAAGTGACAACAACCTGTCAACGAGAGAGAGGAAGGCCTCAATTACAGTCCAGTTAGATGGGACCTGCGTGATTTGGCTGCCTTCACGGGGTTAGAGACCTTCCCTGTCAGCATTGAAGACGATTCATCAGACGAATTGCAGCAACATACGTTGGACGGACTTTTGGGTGACGGCAGCCAGACTACTTTATATAGACATCACAACGATGGCAGTCACAGAGTCGGACATCGCTTCATTTCCCTTACGGACCCGGTAAGGGTTTCACGATCTAGTTACAAGCCATTGTATCTCAAGCACTACTCTCTCCGTTATTACTACGAAGTGGCAGAGTCTGTTGGGTCTTCTCACATCAGCACAGGACATGACACACAGAGGGAGTCTACAACTACGCCCACTACAGGTCTTCGTGAATGTACATATGGACGATCCGGACCCCTTCGGACTTCCGGACAGACTAAAACCATATCTAATATGGTGGACCCAGAGATCGAATGGTCGCAGAAGCACCTATTTAGCAGAGCCGGAGTGCAAGACGCATCTCTATGTGGACGCATCTCTCCAAGGTTGGGGAGCACACCTCGACAACGAAGTGTCAGCTGGGATATGGACCATAGAAGAGAAAGATCTGCACATCAACATGCTGGAAATGAAAGCAGTGATAAACGCCATACTCCACTGGACCAGCATTTGAAGAATGCTCATCTGACGGTACATACAGACAACTCCACAGTGGCGTTCTACATAAACAGAAGGATCAACAAGGTCGGCGAACCTTCTGGACCTCTGCTTTCAACTGTTCAGCATAACAGACAACCTGAACATCCACATAAGAGCATGCCACATTCCAGGAGCCAAGAATGTGATAGCAGACGCACTATCCCGTCCAACGCAGCCATCCCCAACAGAATGGATGCTACATCCAGAGATCTTCAAGCAGATCATACAAGAGATGGGAGCACCACTAATATTCAACAATCAACTCATAACATTCGTCTCACCAATACCAGATCCACGAGCATGGGCAACGGACGCTCTAAGCATCTCCTGGGAAGGACTAAACGCTTACGCGTTTCCACCACCAGCTCTAATACCGAGGGTGTTGCAGAAAATCAGTCAGACGAAGGACCTACAACTGATTTTGGTCGCGCCTTACTGGCCAGCGAGAATATGGTTCCCCATTCTCATACAAGAACTAGGACCGCCTCAACTGCAACTACCAGAGTGGACGAATCTACTAGTACATCCTCACACAAAGCAGGCGCACGGCAACCCAGAGGTGTTCCGGCTACACGTGTGGACTGTATCAAGGTGTGCTTGAACAAGAGAGGATATTCCGCCAGGGCAGCGAAAGCAGTCACACTAGCTCTACGCAAGTCTACACGTAACTTGTACGACGACAAGTGGCGAAGCTTCGAGACATACGCTTTGAGGACCGGCTTCACAGCCATAAAAGCGACACACCCTCAAGTGGCGGACTACCTTTGTCACCTAAGACAAACGAAGCGGTTAAAAGGGTCAACACTCTCAACATACCTAGCGGCATTGAGCTCAGTTATCACCATGAGGACGAGTGCAAACTGACGAAAGTACCAGAGTTACTGGCCTTACTACGCTCTTTTAAACTGGAGGACCAACAACAGAGATTTAAAGCTCCGGCGTGGGACCTCAACATAGTTCTACGACATCTCACCAGTGACGTCTACGAACCATTAGATAGGACATCTTTTGAGTTCTTGACGCAGAAGACGCTGTTCCTGATCGCCTTAGCAACAGCAGCAAGGATGTCGGAAATACATGCTCTGGACTTTGAGAGAACACGATTTGATGAAAATCAAAACATCGTGCATATAGGACTGAGATGGGACTTCATAGCAAAGAATCAACTGCCAGGTCATCCAGACAGACAGTTCCACATCCCAGCACTATCATCAGTCCTTGGACCACAGGATACGCAGGACCTATCCTTGTGCCCAGTGAGAGCATTGAAAGTCTACCTACAAAGATCCAGGACCAGGAGACGGAAATTCAAGCGTTTTTTCGTCCCGATATCAACAGCGACACAGACGGAGGTCTCCCGCACTACGATATCAATCTGGATCAGAACTGTCATACTACTGGCCTACAAAGCAGCAGGACTTGATCCTCCAAGAGCCTCCAACCCACACGAAGTTAGAGCTCTGGCGTCAACACTCGCTCTACATGGGAATTGCTCTATCAGGACGATAATGGAGGGCTGCTTCTGGAAATCGGACATGGTGTTTGCCAACCATTACCTGAGGGACATCGCCACCGAGGACGTCTCCGGCATTCACCATTTCGGCCCACTTGTTGTAGCACAACAATTGACAGTCCCTCAAAGGCGCTGAGACGGAGTCTCGCCCTTTATCACATGACTTGCAAAAGCCTACACTCAGGAGAGTTCAGCTTTAGAGTCTATATGCACGTCTAGGACAGACTAGCATAAGTGATATGACCCAGTACTTGTAAGGATACTCGTACAGGAAAGGGTCACTTCTCCACTTGATGCTCGCATCAAGAGATGGAGTTGCAAAATCCACATAAAATGTTAACAGAAGCAAGGACCAAAAGTTAACAATTGTGGTCCCCCCATCAGAGAAAGCTGGAAGTAAAGGGTTACAGCAGCAGCAGAGCCTAGCAGTAAAATAGAAGTGCTACCAGGAAGTTCCCATAGGGGGGTATACAAGATGTAAATCACTACATGGAATCCAGAAGTGGCTTGACCCACCACCAAATCCGACGGATTCTACAAGCAAAAATACATGAGTCAGGATAAGGAAAAATATGTAATTTTCTGAATAAAATTGATATTTTATACTTATCCTGACTCATGAGGTAAGCCCTCCCAACCTCCCCGCTAGAC